CAACTTTGTAAAGGAAGACAATGTATTTTCATTGTTATATATAGCATATTACATCACAGTATATCTAGCCTTTAAAAACTATCGCTGATTACAACAATGGTTTTCTATTCCTTTCTTACTAAGAACGTGGTTTTTACCGCCTGTCTGCCCTAACAATGTGCTTATCCCAATTACAACAGTGCTACAGCACCACCTGCTGGATATGATTGGAAAGCTGCAAACAAGGAATTGCTTGAAATGTACAGTATGCACAATTACAACCTACTGAGAGCTAAAGCCTTTCTGCACTTCTCACAGAAGGTCCAGATCCTGCATGTCTCATAATACATGAAATATGGGGTTAAAGCACTTCCTCTAAGTTGCCCACAATGCATAAGAACAGTGTATTAAAAATAGCTGTTTTTGGTCAGTTTTTCCGCAGGACTTTTGTTATTTTTCCCACAAACAACTGGGAGTCCATGGCTAGAATACATGTAGCAGTCTAGAAATTGTACACTTTGTACTCAAAAATAATTTCTGTCCCACATCAAGACACCTGTCAAAAATAAATATATTATTATTTGTTCAGACAAGCAGAGCAAAATAATCTTACTAACAGGCAATTCAATCACCATATTTTTACAAGGATTATCTGAAGGGGGTGCTTTCAAATTAATCAAAACACTGCACTAATTGACATTACAGCACACACACTAGTCACATTCATATAAAATGAGACCCATTCCTAATTAAGACCATATTCAAATATTGGAATTCCATTGAAAACCACCACATGTGTATTCAGATGTCTAAAACCACTTCTAATCAACACAGTCAATAAAGTTTTAAATTCCCCACCACATTTCGGTGGCTTTTCACTTCAGAGGAGCCCTTTAGTATCAACGATGAAACACCAACCACAGGACACAATCGAAAACTGCTGGAAGGACATTAAAAACCAAACTGGAGACTCTTCTTTACACCAAAAACCCCGCTACTCAGAAATACTGGTGAAAACTTTATGAGGCACATTCGTTTTCCATCACTTCCATTACACGTTTTATCATTTCTGATTGTCACCAGAACTCAAAGACATTCCCTCAAATACCCAAACTTCTACTTACAGTAAAAGTAAAATATAGTACAGAATCGTACCTACATTTGAAAACAATACCATTCCTGTTTGATTATTAAAGTAACCGGCTTTAAGTCATTAATTGATGCTTACACAACACGGAGGGATACCACTTTTCCTCATTTACAATATAGTACGGTTGTTAGCAAATGCATAAATATGAGGTACTATGCTGTACTATACTGCATGCACTTAACACACATAAGTTGTATATGAACTATTACATAGAATAAAAAGTAAGTTCCTAATCCTAAGAACAGAAGAATCTCGACAATTCATAATGACAACCCAGCTAGTAAGAGACAAATCCTGCTACATAAATAAAAAAAACTAGTAGAAACTAGTAGTTTTATAAAACTCACTATACTATATGACCATATCAAAATCAGTATTATTATACAACATAGAATATTTTATCATTTAAAAATGTAAATGATTTAATAAAACCATGAGTATATCATAGCATCTGATTTGAGGACTGAGGAGTGTCATTATGTACATTCCTACAAAGATTTGCGTTTTAAATATTTTAAAATCTCGAAACATATTCCAATTCTGGTGGTCACATCATGTTGAGATGCTTTGTTCTATTTGTGTGACTAAATGAATATTGTTTTTTGGAATATAAATTGGGCAGCACAGTGTCACAGTGGTTATAACCATCTTGCAATACTGCTGTTTTGGGGCCCTTGGTTCAGTGTAAGTCATTATGTTTTAGGTTTTTTAAAGTTATTAACCATTTCTTTGTCTGTTTTTGACTGATCTTAAAGCACCACAGAGATGGTAGGGAGTATATGTCCTATGTAGGAATTCCAAGGGCAATCATCTTAGATACATCTTTATGTTATAAAACATAAAGTAATAATGTTTTTTGCATAAAATGCATGTGAAGCTGGTGGAGATAAAGCACTGAGAACAGTCTTTCCTTATATGTGGATGCGTATGATTTCACGCTACCTGACTGTATTTTGGTCGACTTCGGTCATGCATCCTGACACTCAATACAGAACGCAAATGTGAGCCCTGTAGTTTGTTTTTTTTTATTCGAGACAAAGGACTTCCTCATCTGGTAGCCAAGGGATGTTATGCTGTTTCTTATATAACCATATGCTAAAATAATGGCATTTCCTTTCTCTCAATTGTTCTGGTACTGTTCATTAAGCGATTCATCTCACACACACATACCACAACGTTAAAGCACTTTAACCCTAAATAGCTTGTGAAAACGTCCCCTGCAAAAACTGAGGGAGGAATCCTGGAAAACGTAATGTCATACCATGACTTATTTAAAAAAAATATTAGTGTAATACCGTATTGCAGCATTGCAGGAAATTAGAAGCTAGTCAATACTCTTAACCTCAGTCCTAGACCTAACCCCACATCTGGATTACGATGCTATACTGTCTGCAATCCAAACCATAATACAAACTCTAACCACAACCACAATCACACCCCTAATCATCCCTCCGTCAGAAATCCACTGTACTGGCAAGGGTCACGGCAGACTGGAGCCTCTCCTGGAAGCACAGGAGATCCCCGTTTATCTAGCAGGAATGTCTCTGACCACTCCAGACCACTGACGGCACTAGGCCACCTTGGGGAAAGCCCAACCGGGCTGGGAGAGACATGCACTCAGGAGATGCCATGGCCCAGAATCGAACCCAGGACCCTAGAGAAGCGAAGCCGCCGTATTAACGGCCACACCAATGCGGTGGCCCTAATGATAGCAGTGAACAAATTTTTACTGGAACCCTGACTCCAGGACCAGTCCAAACCGCAACCATCACCCAAACCGCAACTCTGACCCTAAGTACAGTCACAAACTTTACCCTAATTCAAACCTAACCCCGGTCCTCAATTTAATACTAATCCTGGCCTCACTAACTCTAACCCTTAGCCCCACACTTAGCTCATTGCTTGCTCATACTATCTGAGTCCTAACTTCCATTTCTATACCAATTCAAATAATTAAATTCGCTTAGCTTATCACAAGGCTGATGTTTTAACACTATCTTGTAGCAGTAATAGGAAAAAATCCAATTACTATAATGTTAAAATGAGGCAAGCACAAACTGCAAAACCAAGCGCAGGCGGAGGGGTGGCTCTGTGGCTCAGGATCTGCGCCTGTGGCTGGAAGGTTGCCGGTTCAAATCCCACAGCCGGCAGAGGAATCCTACTCTGTTGGGCCCCTGAGCAAGGCCCTTCACCCTAGCTGCTCCAGGGGTGCTGTATAAATGGCTGACCCTGTGCTCTGACCCCCAGCTTCTCTCCCTGTCTGTGTGTCTCATGGAGAGCAAATTGGGGTATGTGAAAAGACAAATTCCTAATGCAAGAAATTGTGTCTGGCTAATAAAGTGATCTTATCTTAGCTGGGCTGAGATAGTCTGAGACTGCAAGTTTAGATACAGTAGATGAACTGAGAAGGCTGTTGCATATTAATAGTGAATGATTTTTGTTAAAAACTGTTACCAGAACTTGAAAACTGTGTTTAAATCTTAATCTAGCCTTAAAGATGCTGGCTTTCCTACCTTCAAAGCCTTACTGACAAAGGTGTGAGGCATAGTTTCGCTCTGATGTCATGCTGGGCAACACCCTGCGACAATTCTAAAGACAGTGTGAACACAAAGAGCTGCTGGGGTCTGTTGGGTTCCCCTTAGTATTATTAAATTAGGGTTGGCATCAATCTGTCGCCCTTTGCAGCTGAAGCCTGTCCTTCTCTTGTTAATATACTAAAATGACAGAAAGTTGTGTTGTGCAGTTGAAGCTTCTGTCTCTCCTGCTGAAGGATCGATTTATTTAAATAGCACTGTAAATTAATTACTAAAGCATGTCAGGAAAATTCCAAACATGTCCTTCACTACTGTTCCACGTTTAAATAGCTATACACATGCAAAACCTTTCTGTAACTCGGCGGTACTGACTCTGCTGTCATCGGGTTTAGCTCTGCTGGATGTGGTTTTGCCGTCTTTCCACTCCCCTCTCTTTCGCTGAGAAAACTGGTCAAAAGTATCTGCTCTATTGTTTTTCCCTTCTTCTCATCATTCACTCATCTGACTAAATCTTCTTAACACCCCTCATCCTCCAGCACTCAGAAAAAACTCTGCGTAGTTAAACTGCAAAGTTAAACACTGCCTCCAGCGTGCTCCATTCACAGACTTCAGTGTTATTTGTCTTGATTTCAGTTTGCACTCTTTAATGAGCAGGACCTCACTCTGCTATGTTCTTATGAACCTTCCCAAGAAATTCATTAGCATCACTATGATACAAAACAAGAAAACACCACACATGTATCGATCTTTTCAGCTATATTTTTACAATACAAGATAAAGGAATTTTTTTTTAAATTTAAATCAGGCATACACATGAAATACAATAATTAAAATAATTTAGGTTTAGAAAGGTCTTATATACTTATGCTTTTAATAAAAAAAAACCTTTATTCATTCAAGAGCTGATCGGAACAACAGCTGAAACGGCCTTTGTGTTTCACTTGCCTGTACCCTGATTAGCTTTTTTACTAGTTCTGAAACACAAGTCAGCTCTAATTCCCATTCGAAAAGAGTGGCGCAAGCTTTGTGCTGCAACAAAAGCACTGTAAATCTGCCCCACAGAAGTCAGCTCACACCAGAAGCAGAAAACAAAAGAAACCTATCGGATTCCATGGACGTAAAGTAAGTGGAATACTAGTTGGTAGCTCTCTGCAACAGTAGAGGGGTTTAAAAGGCAGACAGCAAACTCCCCTGAGTCTCACACATAAACCTTACTGCACATCCGTGGGCTGATAAAAGTCTGAATGCTTCAGTCTGAATTTCTGGAAGTCAGATGTCAAAGTGCACCAGCACACAAAGATACCTTTCTTGCTCTGCTGCAGTACAGAAGGAGGGGGCGTGGCCACCTTCATGGCCAGTCCATATGCACCGCGGAATGAATGGCTGTCCCGGACAATGAAAGATCCTGGCTCTTTGTCCTTGAGGATTGCAATGGCTGTGGGTATTAGGAGGACAAAGGTTTAAAAGACAGAACACCGCAATTAACATCTAAGCTTCCCCTTGTGTCACGGCGGCTTCAAAGCATTTGTGCTCACGGTCTCAGACCGTGGCATGGCCTATTAAGACTTCATTGTTGTTAAAGACATACACTGACTCCTTACAAAGAGACAGCACACTTCTGGAAAGCTTTATCAGGGCTTCATAGCTCCAGAAATGTTTAACACACACACACACAAAGTTGACATTCTTTTTAAATCAATTTGAAATAGGAGTCAGCTGACGGAATTTTATTTCCCAAATACTTCATCAGCATACTGCATAGAATTTAAATGTTACGGTGAACAGTGATTCCAATACTTGTAAACAAAAATGTTAGAACTGCAGGTAAATTCAACACTGTCCTGTACATCACATCTTTCACTTCTTGATATATATCGGCTATTATTCTGCAACCTTACAGCTACTTGAACTCTAACATCATCATGTTGTATGTGACTTTGGAATAATATAATTTCAATACATTGCAAAACATAACAAACTGCTGCATAAAAATTAGGACACACTAATTAAAAACAGCAAATGAGTATGGTAACCCATATTATTTTTAATTTTAAATGCCTCTCAATAGATGTTTACATATACTGTATACAGAGGCTTTGATTCCAAAGTTATTTTTTCCACTAAGACATTAACAGATTGACAGTAGCAGATAAAAAACATGTATGTGTTTTATAAGGGAAATGCTAAAGTATAGGAGATGAATATTCTTAGACATTACTTCACTAAAACTGAAACAAAGATATAGACCAAAATTAATTTCCTCAGTCTCATATTAAAAGACAAACCTTCCAAACAGTGATTTTTTAGACAAAACACATAAAACATTTACCTTGGTCCCTTGAGATATCAGGCTTATACCAGAATTTTGAAGTGTCTTGAACAAATTTTACAGTCACCTGCTTATTAGGAATAGCATCTGGAACATAACAAAAAAAAACATGTAATATTAGATGTTAATCATCTTTTAATCACAGTCAGAACAAAGCCTGTAGAACAGAGAAAGGATAGCTCATCAGAGCACAGTGAGACTGGAAGGAGTATAAAACAGAGTTGGTACAGTCCATCACAATGGTCGGCTATTTTAATATAAATACATTTAAACAGAACAGATTTTTTTCCTAGCTACACATTTCCATTGCTGGGCCAGGTATATTAATAGTTAATTGCATTTCCATGACGTACGGGCCATGCTAAGTATTACTCGTGTAATCCTGGCAATTACTCTTGCCATTAGTCAGGAGGGTGTGCAAACACAGAAACGAGGCAGCCGAGATTCCCACACCTGGGTGAGCTGGGTTCTATACAGCAGTTGAGTCAGCCACCTGAGTGGTCATGGAATCCACTCAGCCAGGTAGTGTGATCCTTCTCACCTGAGCAATGGAAACTCTGAAAACACGTCTAACCACGTGAATACCCCAGGAACGACCTGCACAGACACAGATGTCTCCATATGCTGCCACGTAATAACTTCAGTGGCCTGGTGGCAGCTTCATCCGGTACATTCAATCGAAAAGCATGCTTGTGGTCTCTGCTTCCACCACGTCTCCATCCTTGTGTTCCGAGTGCACAGGCCAGGTCCTGATCTCACACACACAGGCACACCTGACGTGAATGCACCGTGTGACCCATACTGGAGTAACACAGGGACGTCACCGTCAAAGCACGGTCAAAACAAGCCTAAATTAATCCGTAATTAATGTCGGCCTTCAACTGGTGCTTGCGGCTCTCGTTATAAACAAATCACCAAACACATTGAAGAAGAATGCAAATTCATTCAATCGTTTGCGTTATGGTACTGGTGGCTGACCATGCTGGGTGACGAATCAATTGCAAAACAACAAAGACAGATAAAAGTCCAAAACAAAGCCATTTTATCTCAGCATTTAAGTTGTGAAATATTTGGCTTTCGGGTTGTGGCCGATACTGTTGGTGTTAAAGCTTTTTAAAGAATGAATCAAGTGTAAACAACGCAAGTTACAGGTAATTCGTTAGCTGTATTTATATCCATATTATCTTTTTACTCTTGCCATTAGCCCTTTGTATGCTACCTGCATGATTTTGAATGTTTACGCTTTTTGCAGTATTGTGCTCACTTCGTGGTGGTACTCATCTTCTTTGAACTAAACGGTATAAAAAAAAGCCTTTCTGAGTTCTGCACTTAATGGACAAATGTAATAGATAACCATGCACAGCTGGCAGGGTTATCTTAAAAAACACACTACCTAACACATGGCAAAATGGTTATTTGGTCTCTTCCCAGTCCTCTGACAGAGACATGAATAGGAAATCTCTCTCAAATGGACAGGCTGATGATGCTGGATAAGCTTTGCTTCATACTTCTCCACCATACTGTCAGGTTGAACTCTGCCTGAGATATTTATTTTACTGTCTTAAAGAGTATGACAATGCTCTACAGCATGGGTGAATACTGATACTGTATGTGTGGAGCAGAAGAACATGTAGCAATACCACGTCATCACCAAAGCATTTTGTTGGTTTCAGAGCAATGTGTGATGGCATTTGATCATTAAAAAGCACGAAAACCTCGGGCTTAAGGTATGCACTGGCTTTCCTCATTTTTAACAGGCTGAGGAAAACAACACAAACTCAGAGGAGCTAAAAACTCCAGAATCTACTGTACTTGCCTGAACAGCTCCACCTGGCACTACCAATAATCCAACCTGCAAATATTAGACTACATAACTTTTCAAAGACGTTTAAAAGTAAACATGGAATGGAAAATGGGAGTTCCTATAACACAAATTAGTCATATTGAATCACAGTTTTAAAATTTTAAAATATTTACACATCAGTTTCAAATGCAGTTGTTCAAATGCATTTAGGTCATTTTTGTATGTCAGTTTAGGATATAAAAAAATACTATCATTTTTAATCACTATTTATTAATAGTTTAATATACAGTCTTTCATATTGGCTAAAAATTATAGCAAAAACCCACTTGTTGCTACTATTGTTCAAGGAACACCTTATTCATTTAAAAGTGCTTGAGAATGCCACACCCTAGGATATCACCATCTTCTAGAACTACTCTCTTGTCACACATTGTTGAAAACATTGCTAGTTCTCCATGTGAAAACTGTTTACGGAGCAAAGTGATTCTCTCGGATGATAGAAGTATACTATGTCATACAGACTGGGTTCCCAACAAGCTAATTTTCATTATTCTAAATCTTCTGGCCGTTTCAAGATTACCCAGAGGGCATCCTGTCTGTACAGCAGTCTCACGTATTGTATCTCTTGCAAAAAGTACACTGCCATTTCCAGGGGCCAGACAGGAAGACAGACAAAGTAGTAGGGATTAAAGATCTCTCCCAGAGGACAACTCCCCATTTCACGTCTCTCAGCTGTGACCCTCCTGTCTGCGTTCTTTCACAGGGGTTCAAGGACCCTCACACCACAAAGACAGCACAAGTTTAACGTATCCCCAAACAATCACACCTCCCCTAGCTCCTGGTGTTCAACTAATTTCTTTCACAAGTCTCTCCATTCACTTACGGATTCCGGCCTTTCACTCTGCCACTGAAATGTGTCTCCCCGAGTTCTGTCTCTTTCTCCTTTTCCCGTTCTAACATTTTTCTTTCATCCTGTCTCCCTCTCCCCCCACGCACTTGAGGAGGCACCACTGCTGAAATGCCTTTTGTATTCTTTTTTTGTTCATTTCCACTTGCAAGTGTGGACTAAACTTCTGCTGGTGCCTCAGAAGCCTGCACACTGACACAGCTCTTTGCTCAAATAAATCCAGTTATGTTTTTTTTCAACAAAACTGTAATGACATTTTCCCAACTAAACTGTCAGTTTCAACAGTGAATTCATCATTTTATCCATATTCAGTGCCAATTTATATTAAAATTGTAATTTTCCTTTGAAGTATTTATCACAATGACATAACTTATCCTGAGAAGAATGTTAAAACATCTGTGTTTTTAAGAGGTTCTTAGGCATTCGATAATTGCAATATATCAGTGCTGGCCACGGGCTGTTGTTGAAGGCCCTTTGCTGTGTTTTGATCCTCACAACAGCTGTGATATGTTGTGGGAATACCACTTGGAGGAATGTGTCAAAGAAAGAAGTCTCTAATCTGGGGCAAACAGAACATAATCGCACCAGTCTCAAACCACATTACCCACGATTCAAAATCAGACTCATAAAAAGAAAAAAAAATCCATAGTGACTATGAAGACCGTAATCAATAGGGAGCTGATTTAATGTCTTTGACGATCACTGCATTGCTGGAGTGAAAACTGAATACATGAGAACACGGTTCCAATATAAAAAATGATGAGAAAAGACAGAAAGAATAAAGATGCCAACGAAGCAGGTGTACCTGGGATGGGGGAGGTGCTCAAGACCTGGGAGAAGTCTGGGAGGACACTAGGGAATGGGATGCTTATGGTGCTCCCACTGTGTGGGCTGGAGAATCCGCTCAACGAAGGAGACGCGGAACCTATGGAGTGCTCCCCCTCCGAAATCCTCTTTTTCTCCGGGAGGGGCGGCTGAACATTCACCCCGGCGTGCCTGAAGGCGGGGCTCGGCTGGCTCAGTCCTTCCACCGCCGTGAGGAAACTGTGCTCCAGGCTTCCGTTGTCCAAAAGAGAAGACAGATCCACGTTCCTGGAGCCGAGAGAGTCCGCGGCCCCCGGGAAGCTGGAGAACGAGGGGTCATCCTGGTCTTGAAACCTCTGAGCAGCACCCACGCTGCCCCCGTAGCTGAAGGGCCCCTTGGCAGCTTGGCTGCTGGCTAGGCTGCCCGCCTGAAGTCCTCTTGGAGAGCTGCGGCAGCTGGCGGAGGCGTGAGAGCCGGGGTACTGAGACAGGAGGGACGGGCCCTGACTGGGACCGACGGAGAACTCCCTGGATCCCAGGCAGTGAGGGCTGGACCGGCTCGCTCCGGGCAGCGACGTCCGGACACTCAGGGGGACCTTGGGGTTGCCGTCTTGCCAGGATCGTCCAGGGGGAGAGGGGCTGCAGCACAAGGAGAGAAGGTCAGTCACAACCGGGAGCAACCCTGCCTCTCAGAAAGGTTCTTGCCATAGGCCTCTGACGTCCTGAGGAATAACACCCTTAATCTCTTTCATCTACATCCTAGATCTTCTTTCAGTCTTGCTTCTTGCTTAAACCTATGTGGAGTCAACAAATCAGACACGATTCCAAATTAGACTTTTTGTCCCATTTGTCACTCTACTGCTTTAAAACAGAATATTTAAAAACAATGTTAGAACTGAAGAAGACTTCAGAAGAAGAATCCAATCCTTACTCCCATTATTTGTAATCGGTAATGCATAAAAGGTATGCAAGAAATCTCCTAAGTGTGTTTGCTAATCAGAGAGACCACATTTTGTGTGAAGATTCCTTACAGTGCAAGACCAAATCAAAATTAAATAAAAGCATCTTACATATAATCACAATACTTTACCTTTCAGTTTGTGGAAGTGGACTATTGGTGGAAACATAGGGCCTTTGGCAGGAAGAGGCTGTAACTGTCACATCTGATCTGAACAAGTCACCCTCCGAAGACATTGTGGTGTGGGTTATGTTGTCCATATAACCTCTGGGTTCTGTGTGGAAATACAACAGCAGACTTTTAAAGACTGAACTGCCCTGAAAAATAATGTCTGGTGCAAAAAACAGGGCCTATTGTTCCAGCACATACACCACGTAGTGTATCTGTTTTCCCACCTACAGTCAAGGACGAACGTTATCTGCCAACTTGCACAAACAGGGGAAAATGAGATGGAAACGGAGTACAAAAAGGTCCAAATCAAACTCTGCTTAATAAGATAAACCAGGTATGGTTGGGAAAACAGGATAGCAATACAATATAATATAAATAGGCAACCACTGGCATAAAACTACTCCAAAAATAACTGGACAAAATTTGGAACATCCGTTCATGATAAATATATTATACCCCAGTTGTCACCATCGCCCCGGAAGATAGGCTTTACTACAGGCAGTACTGGTCCTGGAGTGGCACCATGATATTTTTTGTTAAGTGAGCATGATAGTTTCCTTAACTTCATCAAAATAATACTAACAATTATTTTATATAGTACCGTTCTTGAAAGGCTTCTTTCAAGCTCATGTTTTCCAGCTGATTAATACTTGAAAGATAATGGGTGTCTAATTAAATCACGTATTTCATTGCTGTAGAATGAGTATGAGAAATGAATGAGAGTTCGTTTGAAATAATGGTCAGCAGAGATATGTGTATCCCAGGACCAGCTGTTGAAGAAACCTGCCATAAAGACATAATTTCACAGAACTGAGTCCAATCAACACCCAAATTAAATCCAAGGTCCAATGGCACCTGATCACATCTGGGGATATAAGTCATCGAATTTCTCTGTGTGAAAAAGTGGAAATGTATACTGTTGAAATTGCAACCATATGTTCTGCAACAGCTTTTGTACTGAACAGAATTTGGGAGGCACAAACAGCACTGTATGTGAAGAGTTTTACTTTACAGACAAAAAGGTCCTATTAAATTAAATAAAATGTATTACTATACAATTTAAATATTAACAGCAAGCCAGAGGTTATCATTTTACTCAATATACCACAGTGCGGAAAGGCAAGAGGTTAAAGCTAAGAACTATAAACATTTGCCTTATTGATGCATAACAAAAATGTCAACAAATGAATTGTTGAAATGAATGTCATGGTATTGAGATATTAGGAGTCACGTTGTACACTTCCCCCGAAACACTTTGCACAAAGCACAGCTCTTTCTCAAAGCCCTCACTCCTCGGATCTTCGACATGATGAAAATGTCTGTCCTGATTTTTATGTGATAAAAATCTAATAGACTTTCAATGAACGGGGCCCACACATCTGTTTTTGGGGAAACAGAGCTTCTTTATTTCTGCCCCACGACAGAACACTTACTGTAGTTCACATCACTACAAAATGTGGCTTTTCAGCTTGAATTTTCAGACGACTTATGCAACCGGGCTGATGGCCTGGTTTCAAGTTAACTGGAGAGTCAACCACTTCTCCCTCCTCAGTTAAACATGCTTATTCTGAGGTGTGGGTAAAGATGTACCCTTCTTCCCATATCAATAATTACAATTTTTTCCATTTTTATCAATCTGTGCCAACTAATAACATAAAGCAATGAGTAAAGTGCAATTTGGTTTTCGTTTTAGGACAGAATAACTGATCCTTGTCCCCCAGTCTTCAGAGTTCAGGGTTCACTGCATGTTCAGTTTTTCCCTAACAAGAAGAAACCTGACATGCTTTAGCTTAGCTCGGGGCTATAGTAAAGAATTCATGCCCACATACTGTAAACAACATGAATCCATATCAGAAGTCTCCGTGCTCCCAGTCATGTCCACACAAGCTTTGAGGTAGATTTCAGATGAATCAATCTACTGATTAGTGCCACAACAGACAGTCTGCCTGCATTCCTGAAATAATACAAACAGCATCCAGGGGCTTAAAAGATTTAACTGGATTTTCTATTCTCTTCATTCACAAAACAGAAGCCAATTGCTTATATTGAAGCCAAAAGTCAGAAAATACAATTTAAAGAAGGATATCTACAATATATACTGAGCATAAAGATAAACTATTTATGCATGTGTTGTTTTACAAGACTAAAGCACAGGGATTTGGGATACAGAGTTGATTGATTGATTAAATGTTATTTGACAGAATTTTGAGTAGCTGAGCATTCATGACTCACTGTTTTACACCTGTGTGAGTCTGACTATTGCACAAGTACTGAATCTCCTCATTAGTTAGAAATGTGACTGGGCACAGATGAATAGGTGATTTAAACTGCGGAATTTTACACCTGGTCTAAACTGAGAAAGAAAATAAAAACTATATGCCTCACTTATCGAGCAGTCAATCAGTTTATTTGCCACTTATCAGGAGGGGCCATCATTATGCTGTAGGTTGGACTGAATCCAGGCACTGTCACTTGCCGTCTGTGGTGATCACAGCCAGAAACTTTTCACTTGAAGGAACTTTACAGCCAAACACTGTCTATCAATGACAGGCCATGATCTGGGATAACATGAGACACATTTCACCAGGAGACAGTATGCGGGGAGATCAAAGTCTTAGCGGTTTGGCTGGATTATCAAGTCACTACCAGTGGAGCTCTGATTCATGACCACATGCCTGTACAGCACTTCACTGATAACGTCCTGGAATCTCTGTTCTAGGATGCTGCTCCTGAGGGTTCACTTGACAGCATTCCTACAGCACGACAACATCCATCCACACGCTGCCTTCACGCAAACTGGCCATGTGACAGCTATGTCATGGATTCCTCGTGACACCCAACTTGTGACCCAGTGAACACGTGTGGGATGAGCTGGGGCAACGTGTGGCATCGAGGACTCAGAGACCAGAGAACAGGCACAGGATCTAGGAGAGGAATGGGGCACAATCCCACAAGACAGCATCTGAAACCTGGGGCGAAGTTTGATGCACAGCTGGCATAGCCAAATTCTTTAATAAATTGTCAGTACAACTCCTAAGAAAGCTTTTGCAATTTCACCGATAAACAAAATAATAAAAATAATTTGCTGCAGTTATAATTAACACATTTGTTTTCATGATCAGTATACTGTATATATACACACCAAACATCGCAGGCACCTAAAGGAAGCTGGAATGACGTTTGTCTGATGTAAAACCAACGTATAAGCAAAGGAAGGAATCATAGGTTTACTGTGACTTTTAAACTCCATTTCAAAATGATCCAATTCAAGTACATGTCTGACACACAGTAGAAATGACGCACCTCGGGTTCCAAGACACTTTGTGGTGATTACGGTACAGCTAAAATCATCTGCACCCATTTAATTTCCATAGAACTTGTGTTAAGAAACTGCCTCTGAAATCTAATAGTGACACAATAGAGCAAGTCGAATGGGGGAGAAACCTGCTTTATGATGCGAGTCATACATTTAATTTTAAATGGTGAAAGTAGGGGGGAAAGAATAATATCCTCTCCACTCTCCTCTCCTCTGGCTGTCAGTGAATTCCAAACCTCTGACCAAAGTCTCCTTGTGTCAGACGAAGCTGGCGTGAGGGAGAATACTGAGAAAGCTTGGGCAAATGCAAACTAATTCTGGCTGAGAAAACAAAGACTGAGAAGGAAGCAGATCTAAGATCCATTATCAGAAAGATGCATATTTCTGGAAAGGGCCTCAGCAACTAAGATCCCATCGCTGGGAAGAAAGGGAAACTGCCTGTCCTCTGTGGGGCGCACACTCACACAGGAATCTAGAGATGCCAATCAACTCTGCCAACGTGTCACGGAAAGGACCCCCTGACAGAAACATGCACCCAAAAACTTTTCTTAATTAAAATTCCAAAAGACTGACACGGTCATCCCTGTTTTGCCAGAGGTCTTGATTTGGTTATTTCACCATTTGTCTACTGACAACATGGTTACAAATACGGACCATATGGTCTCCTCTAATTTGTAAGCTTCCTAACTTTCCGAGAATCTGTTCTTGAAAAACGATTCTGTAATTGCAAGTAAAATGACAGATTGCCTTTCCCATTGAGCATGGAATGAATGAAAAACAACCTATTCATCACAAGAGATTATTCTGTGTGGTGTAATACTGCAAAGGAGTAAACCTATTTGTTTTCTTTTTTCTGTAACAATGAATATACACATATATTTTAGTATACAAATGATGTTTTTTTTTTTCAGATTATTGTGATTAATGTGTCCTCTGATCTGGGATATAACACACTCGACTCACACCTCAAAAAGCTGAAACAAATTAGTAACCATAAATCATAAAACCACGGATATCAAGTCTGGCGTCCCTACAGAGATCAAGACTCATTCTAAGACTAGAAAATAATTATGAATAATAATATTTTACAAAATCATTAGGATCATTTTTGGATCACTCCTTATAATTGGGATGGTTACAACTATTCTTGTATTAAATGCCGGATAATTTATCTATTTAAAAAAGCAAAACAATCAGGTTTTTTGTGCTCTAGCTGCAGCTGATGGTTTAATTACCATGGGAAACATCAAAGGAAGGTACCAACAGAGGGATTAACGAGCTTTCAGCCTGGAAGTCAGTAGCAAGCACTGATCCTTTTGGCAGCCTTTTCTCACGCTATTATGAATCACACTGAATTAAGAAATAACAAGATAAAGAAAGAATATTTCTAAGGAGACACCTGGATTTACAGTATATTGAAATAACTACAAACTAGAAATGTATAACTTCATGAATGCTGCACTCCTTCTGACAGGAACATACAGGGTAGTTAAAAGATTTCACGGTCCTTGACACCTCTGCAGATTCCTTACAGCCCTGTTTGGAAAATGGGGTGAAAAGCAGCATTCAGCCTACATTCTGAAGAACCTCTTTCTGCATAGAAGCAGAACTGAGAGCCGAGTTTTTCTTAATCGTCAAGTTTCCAAAAAAAGGGAGGCAAGCACAATACGCCTTTAGTCTTCAGTGCTCCGAAAATACAGTTTTGCACAACTTGTTCCAGATGGCTCCAACCACCACATCTACTTGCCAGATCAGAACTAATGAGTTTCTGCAGAAGAAGGAAAATG